GGTGATGGGCACTCAACGCTTCTTCTGCATCCACAAGAAGGATGAACAAGTTTGTCTCCTCCATTTTCATGACTCTTCGTCTTCAGTTTTTGTCAACTCGTTTTCTGCTAACCCCTCATCTGATGATGCACCTGCTCCTGAGGCTGCGCCAGATCCACCACCTCTCAAGGAGGATTTCCGCTCTTCTATCCCACAGAAATACCATGCATGGGCAGACACCATCTTCAACCCTGCCAAGTTCGAAAAACTCCCTGAGCATTGCCCTTTTGATGTCGACATCAAGCTCAAGGAGGGAAAGACACCTCCCTTTGGACCCATCTATTGCCTCACCCCCATCAAATGTGATGCCGTTGTGCAGTACATCACCAACAACCTCCATCGTGGCCACATCCGATGCTCGACATCCTCAGCTGGTGCCCCAGTTCTCTTTATCTGCAAGAAAACCAGTGAAATTTGCCTCTGCATCGATTTCCATGGCTTAAATGCCATCACCAAGAAAAACAGGTATCCTCTCCCTCTCATTGATGATCTTCTTGATTGTGTCCAAGGCTGCAAAGTCTTTTTGGTCATCAATTTGAAATCCACTTACAGTCACCTATGCATACATGAAGGCAATGAGTGGAAGACCACATTTCATACACATCTTGGTCCCTTTGAGCACCTTGTCATTCTGTACAGACTCACAAATGCTCCCACTGCCTGGCAGGTGTTCATCCAGGATGTCTTATGTGACCTACTGGATATCGTTTGTGTTGTCTATCTGGATGATATACTAATCTTTTCTAGAACTCAAGACAAGCATGATTATCACATCGGACTTGTTCTCGATTGCCTCTGCAATGCTCACCTCAGTGCCAATGCCATGAAATGCAAATTTGACTGCTCCAAGGTTGAGTACCTGGGCTACATCATTGGTGCTGATGGCATTAAGATGAACCCCAAGAAGCTCGCCACCATCTCTGAGTGGCCCAAGCCTTCCAAAGTCAAGGATCTCCAGTCCTTTCTCGGTTTCACCAACTTCTATCACCGTTTTATTGACAGTTACTCTTGTATTGCCCTTCCTCTCACAGAGCTCACCAAGAAGGCAGTCAAGTGGAAGTTTTCCTCATCAGCTTGCTCTGCTTTTCAGAAACTCAAGTCTATTTCAATGTCTTCTCCTGTTCTTGTTCATTTTAACCCCCATGCTCCTTGTACCCTTGCTACTGATGCTTCAGATTTTGCCATTTCTGGTGTTCTTCAACAGGCCAACTCCAACGCTCACCTCCATCCCGTCACCTACTACTCTCAGAAACTTGCTCCCAGCAAAATCAACTACAATGTCCATGATAAGGAACTCCTCACTGTCACTGAATCCTTTTGAGACATGTGTGTGTGGCTCCTTGGATCACCTTTTCTGATCACCATCATTTGCAATCACAAAAATCTTGAGTATTTCATGTCTTCTCAGATCCTTAACTGCCATCAGGCATGTCGGGCTATGTTTCTTTCAGACTTTAACTTTCACCTCTTGTGGGGCCCAGGTCACACCAACATCACCGACACTCCATCTCAATGCCCAGATTTCATACCTCAAAAGGGGGATGAACACCTTGAACTTCAGCAAAAGGTGTTACTAACTGAAAAACATACTGAACTTTTATTTCTGTCTCAGATTCCCTCACCTCCAGTACCTGCTCTCAACTCACTCACCACCCTCTTGATTGACAACTCTGAACTCCTTGAGCACTTCAAAACCACTTATCAAGAGGATATGGAGTGGCATCAAGCCATCATTGCAGGAGACTCCAACTTCCAAACCGAAGGTGGCCTAGTGTTTCACTCAGGTTGTTTGTACATTCCTCCACCTCTCCAACTCGAAATCCTTGCCACACATCATGACTCCATCATTGGAGGTCACCCCAGATGCAACCAAACTCTAGGTTTTGTCTTGCACAATTATTCATGGCCAGGCATGACTACTTTTGTGCGCTGCTACATCAAAGCTTGCAAGACATGCATGCATATCAAAACTCCTCGACATAAACCCTTCAGACTCCTTTGCCCACTCGACATCCCCAAATGCCCATGGCAGTCCATTTCCATGGATTTCATAGTTAAGCTCCCTTTATCTCATGGTTATGATTCTATTTGGGTTGTTTGTGATTGTCTTATGCATGCTGCGCATTTCATTCCATGTCGCAAGTTCATGACTGTGCCAGATCTTGCATGGTTATTCCTTGACTGCATTTTTTGCCTTCACAGGCTCCCTAACTCCATCATCTCAGATCGTGGATCACTCTTTGTGTCCCGATTCTGGCAAGCACTTACATCCGCATTACAAATTGACATGCAAACATCCACAGCTTATCACCCACAGACCGACGGACTCACTGAGCGCACCAATCAGATGCTTGAGACCTATCTCCATGTGTACTGCTTGTACCAGCAGGACAATTGGGTCGATTACCTCCCCTTATCCAAATTTGCCTTCAACAACCTCAAAAATGCTTCCACCCACCAAACTCCCTTCTTTGCCAACCTTGCCTACCACCCCACCTTTGAACCCTGTATCTCGGAACATGGTTCCTCCATTCCCGCTGCCAATGATCTTGCGCAACATCTCGCACAGATCCACGCCAAACTTTGCACTGAACTTGAACACACGCAGAAGCTCCAAGCATGCTACTACAATCAGCACTGCGAACATGCCCCGATATTACAGGAAGGTCAGCTCGTCTGGCTTCTCCGGCACAATATCAAGATGACACGGCCCTCCATTAAGCTCGATCATTGACGCTTAGGCCCATACCCTGTCATCAAACAAGTCAACAACTCCCAATCTTACATATTGCAACTTCCTTCTTATCTTTCATGTCTTCATCCCGTTTTTCACATTTTGCTCCTCGAGCCCTATCATGATCCTTCCGAATTTCATCCCCATGCTTCTCCTATCCCTTTTGAACTCGACGACGATGCCGCGCTTCATATTCACTCCATTCTTGATTGTAGACATTACGAGTACTTTGTGCATTGGAAAAACCTCCCTGACAATGAAAACTCCTGGATTCCACTCTCCGACATACCTACTACCCAGAACGAGCTCATCAATCGCTTCCATCATCGCCATCCACGTGCTCCGCGCCCTCACACACTCATTATCAATCAGTTATTCAATTTACCTACCGACAATCCTTTACCTACTTTTCCTCCTCTCGAAATGTCACTGCTAACATCCTCGTCCTCTGCCCCTCTCATAGGTCCTGTGCCCTCACCCGAATCAAACGCCGCTCCCTTGTTGCTTGCTCCTCGTGTCACTCCTGCCTCTGCCTGTCCTGCCTCGCCACCCGCCATATGTCAGAGATTGAGATCTGAGTACACGCCTCCTCCTCAGACAATGACTCGCACTGGTTGTTTGTCTCGTCCCACCACATGCTATGATCCCAACATTAGACCCTCAAAAGGGGGATGATGTGAGGGTCAGGTCCTCGGACCATGGTCACTCTACCTATAACACGGTCTATGTTCTCATTCTCGACTCGTCTCGATTCTTGTTACTTATCCAATGGTCTCTTACTTATAAACCACGCTCATTATAATGATTTGACGGACTCTTACTTATTGGTGTCTTGTTTGTTTGTATGTCGGGGTCGAATGAACACCAGTACTTCCACCTCAAAAACCCTTGTCCTCGCCTCGTCCCCTCATTCCTCACTCCCTTGCCTCGTTCCAATGCTCGATCTTGCCTGGACTGTCACAATTCTCAACGATTGGGATATGGCTTCCTGGGTCGACGACAATGACAACATCCCTTTATCCACTGCCCAGCACTGCACTGGCACCCTTCCCTTCATGGCCATGGAACTCATGGTCCCAAATCCGCCTGCTCATCTCTATCGTCATGACCTCAAATCCTTCTTCTACATCCTCATCTGGGCAGCTCTCCACTATGATTTCAAGAACAAGACGCGTGCATCCAGGGTCCACCCTGCCATTGAGGAATGGAACAATTCAAAGATGAAATCTGTGCATGACAACAAGGGGCTCCTGCTCAGAAATAGCAAAGACATCGTGACCATCATAGCACAGATTCCATTGCAGTGCCAGGCACTCGGGCCATGGATCCATGCGATCTGGGACCTGTTCTACGAAGGGAGTCTGATTCAGGGGCATTATGAGATGGCGAAACGACGTGGTGCTACTGCGACCTGGGACAACAAGACGTATGGAGGGTGCATCACTTTTGAGAAGTTTGTGGGTGCAGTTGGGTGCCCTATATGAGCAGAGAATGGAGCACTGGCATTGGCTTAGCTCCCAAGTTTGATTTCTTTCACATCCTGCATATTTTTACCACCTAATTTACGATGGCACCAACAAGTACTTATGATCTTTGACACGTACTAGATTCCCGGGGGCTCCTTTGTCCATACTATGCCTGTCACCAGTAGTTGAGTCAACTTGCCCTTCATTGCAACACCATCCTCAATATATATGTTAATCAGCTCGAAATCTTTTGTCAAAGTTCAGACATCATCCAAGTGGAGTCTTGTCCTTATAATTATTTGCTTGTATTGCACTCTCAGCACCCAACGATGTTGATGCCATGTTATACAGTAAGATTTGTTTTCTGGGAATATATCATGGGCCCAAAGACAGAATTGGGCAGGGTAATCAGTCCACAAAAAAAGGTAGAGATTGTCAATCATGAGACACTTGCCAGAGATCAAGAGAGCAAAAACAGCTCTTCAATGCATAGCCCACCATGAGGGTTAAACTCACAGCCTTCAGATGCCTAGTGCAAGTAAGAGCCCGATGCTCTATCCAATTGAGCTGTAGCAGCCGTAATGGATATAATGTTGCTATTGATGAACATGAAGACTAAGAGTAATCTTGGTTCTGGGATTTGACATGTATCCGTGCTGTCATACGAAGCACCGCCAATTCATTTCTAATGCTCCCACGTACAACTTCACCACTGCACCCCAACCCCCCTCCCCGCCTCTACGCAGTCCCCCACACTCACCCCGCCCACACCAGCACCCACAACCTCCATTCGTCCCCTCCATGCACCCGGTTCTCCGACATCTTCCAATACCTAGCGCAGTTGCTATCAACTTCGGTATACACCGCTCATGGCGCCACACGCGCCATGCCACCGGGCGCGGAAGATCATGCTGCAGAGCCTCACTGAGATGCGCCAGGAACCGCGTGAGGAGGACCTCGTCGTCGCTGGGGAGGGCACTGGGGTACGGCCCGCCGAGCATAACGGTGAGCTTCGTGTATGATGCCTCGTGCTCGGACCCGGCTGGGATTGGGAGCGCGCAGGAATCAAAGACAGTTCCAAGAATACCTAAATCTGAGTTTGATGCAGACGAGGAGGTGGGATACCCATCGGGAGGCCGTGGGACGAGGTAGCCGAATCCTGGTGGGT